ATTATAGAAAACAGCACCGATAAAGAAAAGGAGTAATAACAGCAAAATTTTTGAGGCAAGAGGCATCCTTTTAATGTGTTTTACGACTGCCAGTATGAAAATGTCGTCCACAAATCACAGGATGCTTGGGCTTTATGCTGTATCTTCTTATTTGTCACTCCCTACATTATAAAATTTCTGTGAATACGTTAACGAAAAATTGAACACAAAATAAAACTGCAATAATCCCAGAGAAATTATAAATGAAACCAAATCTAAATACCATTATCAAGTGATGAAAAAAATTTCCTTCCTTGCCACTGCCCCCAAACACAATGTCTTCACATGAAACTACTTACTTCGTTGTCATCAATGTGGGGAAGCAGTCTACGCCAGCCTCATACGCCGCGCGAGAAAATTTTTGATCCATTGTGAATAATATAAGCCCGTCCGTCGCGCTTCCCTTTACCGTATTATCGAAGCGACGGACGTGATACTTCAGAAATGAAAACAAAAGCGTTCCTTCCGGGATGGATGAACCACACAACCGACACGCCTGTTTACTGCGAAGCAGATATTGAAGGTAAAGACATACGTTTAAAATGTGCCGGTCGGGGTTTAACCGACTCCCCAGATTACCATCATCGCCAAAGGCCTTGTGGTAGGCCATCCGAGTTAGAATCGACATGGCTGAGGCGTTAAATTCAACTGGGAGGGAAAGCACGTGGACGTGGTCCTGCCGTACCAGGGAAATCATCCTAGACCACAACCGCACCCTCACAGAATAACTCAGCCCATTGCCGGGGCTCAAAATCACGCGGTAAGTCTCCATCAGGACTGTAAACGGGACCACAACCATGGCCAGCCCGCGTGATCCATTTCCGATATGGGGGTGCTGCTTTTGGAGATTAGGGTAAAAGTGCTCCAAAGGGAGGTCTTTGGTGATGGACTGGATCAAAAAATTGGTGTCCAGCACCAGGAGGACCCGCTCGCTGGATTCCGCCGCATCGACGAGAAAGCTGAGATGCCGATGATGCCACCGTGGAATTGACAAAACTTTGGTGAAAATGGCATGCAATTGCGGTATAAAAGCGTTAAATGGTTTGGCGATCTCGGATTGCGTCTTTAGCCGAAATTGTCTCGGACTGCCCGAAACCCGCAGCGCGAGGTCCATTGGGCGCATCCGCGAGGTTATATCGCGCACCACTTCCTCGACGCGATAGTCTCGATAAGGGTCCGCGTCGTGCAGGCAGTTGACCAAATTATAAAACATACCGAGACTTTCTAGCACCCGCGGCTTTGACGCGGCGAATAAATTCAGCCCCTGCGCGGTCGCCAGCGCCGTTTCGGATTGCCCGGTCGCCCGTAAAGTCCGCAGAAGGGAAGAAAAAAGCGGCAGATCGAGAGGATGGCCCTCGGCGAAGAGGCTGGCG